TTTATCCTTGGGTCTCGTTCACTGTCATTCTGAGGATCCCTTTTCTCTCTTGAATTAGAATCCTATTCCCAATCCTAGGTTTTCTCTATTAATGTTTTATTCTCTCATTTTTGTAGCACAAATTCTCCGTAGCTCCCTGATAAGGAGGACATGGTAAATAAATTGTAGAGTCGTTGTGTGTCTACATTTGTCACCTTCACACTTGATTTTTTTGTTATGTTTAGGTTCTAGATTGGAAATAATTTTCCTTCAGATGCATTGCTTCATTATCTTCTAGTTTCCAGTCTTGTGTTTGGGAGTTCCCAAACCATTCTCATTCCTAATATTTTGTAAAGTGACTTTTTTTTTTTTTCCTTTCCTTTCTTACTCCCTGGCAGTTTGCAGAATCCTCTCTTTCTCTGCAATTATTGTGAAATATTTATGTGGTGTAAGTTTATTTCTATCCATTGTACTGGGGCAATTGATAGGTCCTTAGAAGGTTGTATAGTTCAGTTCTCAGATTTTGTGTTTTTTTCCTGTGAATTCTTTAATTGAGAATTTTCTTTGTATTTTGGTTTTTTTTGTTTGTTTGTTTTGTTTTTTGATAGGTGGGGTGCAGAGGCTCCTCTTACTGAGAGATTGAGATTCCTGGACTGTGCTTCTGACTTTCTTATCTATTTTCTATTTCTTTTTCTTTCTACTCTGCTTTTTAGGAAATCTTTAAATTTAACATCTAAAAAAATCTATTAAAGTTTTTTTTTGTTTGTTTTAGTGGGCTTTTTTCCTCCGAATATTGCTTTGTTATAGCATTTGTTCCTGCTTCATGGATGAAACAGATTCCTTACTGCTCTGAGAATGTTGACAGTATTTTTTAAATGTTTACTTTTCCTTGAATAATTTGATTTTCTCCAAGTTCTTTTTACTTTTTTTTTTTCTGACATTACATTTTGTGGTACAGGTTTTTCTCAGATTATCTGCTCAGATTTAAGAAGAAGTGATTAAGAAGCTGATTGGAAATTCTAAATGTGAGTGTGAAGCCATGATGCTCATTCAACTTGTGCTTTTCTGTTGGATGATGTGGCTGCACAATTTTCTAAAGAGCTTCTGATAGTAAGATTGTCATATCTTTCTTCTTAAACTGGCCAGATTTTCCACAGAAGATTCTTTCATTCTCTTCTGTGGAGAGTAAATGTCTGACTGCCCTCATCCTTGGAGCTGAGTGAAGAGATTGTTCAGTACTGGAAGAGTGGGCTTGGAACAAAGCATGTAACTTTTTTATATAGCTGTCCTTCTGTCTTGTTTATTTTACCGTTCTTCCCATATCCTCGGTTTTGAGATACCTGACTGCATGTGCCAGGATAGATTAGTGATATTGGTAATAAGCAAATCCAAATTATCTCTGCCTTAAAAGAACAAAGTTGTGTGATATGCCATCCATCAAGGGACCCAAGCTAAGGGAGCCTCTGTCTCTGGGCTTTCATGTTTGCCAAGGCAGAAGAAAAGGGAAGTTTGTAAAATATACCCCACCTCTTAAAACATCCACCACAAGTAGCACTGACTACATCTTCTTGGTCAAAGTAAATCATATGGCCGCTCCTTACTTCAGAGGTGTAGAAATGTACAATCTTATAATATGCCGAGAGGAGAACCCATAAATGGTGGGTAAACAGCACTAATGACTCTTTATCTTGGTGCTGATAATTCCTGGGTCTTTTCAGCATCCTGAACTACAGATTGGTTTGTTCTCCAGTTCTCTGCTGCTGGTTTAGGATTTGTCTTTTTAGGTGTGCTAAGCCTGTTACCACTTGTCCATGTTGGCATTACCATTGTCTTTTCTCCTGCTCTTGCAGTTACTTGGGATTATGTATTAAACATTATTTTAATTTTCTTTTGTTTTCTTTTTTTTTTTGAGTCTTGTTCTCTTGCCCAGGCTGGAGTGCAGTGACATGATCTCGGCTGACTGCAACCTCTGCCTGCCAGGTTCAAGCAAGTCTCCTGCCTCATATTTCCGAGTAGCTGGGATTACAGGCACCTGCCACCATGCCTGGCTAATTTTTGTATTTTTAGTAGAGATGGAGTTTCGCCATGTTGGCCAGGCTGGTCTCGAACTCCTGTCCTCAGGTGATCCACCCGCCTTGGCCTCCTAAAGTGTTGGGATTACAGGCATGAGCCACCACGCCCAGCCAAAACTTTGGTTTTACTTTTATACAAGCTGAATAAGCAAACTCTGCAACTTTGCAAATATGTTAAAAGAATGTGATACTTTATAAAATACATTGTATTACAATTGTGCACTGATGTGAACAACACTGTGATTTTTCCAATTATTTCTCTGTATGTTGAATTTTAAAAGTGGCTTCTAAGTAAAAACATAGCAACAAATAGTCATTTGTTGAGTCTTGAAAAAACTAGTTTGTTAAATTTCCCAGAGCTTTATTGCTTACATGACAAATCCTTTTGCAAGTCAGAAAGCTTCGGATTCTTTGCTTTTATCAGTATTAGAATAATGGCAAGTGAGTTGTTTTGCCAGTTATCCACTGCTACAAAAAAGGAGCACACATTTCAATGACCAAACTTCATTTTATTTATTTCACTTGTGTTTTTGCTTCTGAGTCTGTATCTGGTGTGGCTCAGCTCATCTAGGCCGGGCTTGCTCTTGTCCCTTTGGTCAGCTGTGGAAAGCCAGATAGCCATACTTCTGGAGGTGGGCCAGCTGCCAGCGAGGGTGTCTCAGCTGTCCTCTGTGTGGTCTCTTATTTATTAATATGCTTTCCTGGACTTGTTCTCATGGTGACAACAAAGTTCCAAGAGAAAAAGCAAAACCTTTTAAGTCTTAGACTTAGATTGTCACACACCACACAATCACTTTTGCTGCATTTTGTTTGCCAGTATAACTCACAAGGACAGCGCAGATTTGAGGGGTGGTAAGATAGAATCTTGATTGGAAAACTCACAGTTTCAAATTGCAGAGGATGTGGATACAGGGGGAAGGGAAAACTAGCACTGTTTTTGCAGACTCTGTATTCCAGAGTTTTCAAGTGATCATTAAAAATAATGTTCGATGATAAAAATATAAAATGGGTATACAGCTCAGAAAGAATTTCAAGAATTGAGTGACCTTGTAGAACTAAGCTCCTTTAGTCCATTACTATAAACAAATTTTCCCAGTTCTTACATGTAAGCAAGCAGTTTTTAACTAGTACCCAAAAACGCCCATTCAAAAATAGCCCTTCTATATTACTGAGAAATGATTTCCAATACAACCTTTACATTTAATAATCAATACTTACTTATAAAATGAAACATATTATTTAAATTTATAAGACATTTCAAAAAATCTTTTAATATTTAGCACTTTACATATTACACAAAAGAATAAAATGATGAAAAATAAAAAATAAACTATCAAACATAAGAATATATTCCATTAAAGTAAATTTACACGTGGAGATAGTGGAATTAATGTTAAGGTCAAGCAAAAAGAAACTATGGAATTTATAATGATTAAAAGAAAGCTTTTTAACATGTTTTTAGGTTGGATATTGGTGTATGACAAATCACTATTCCATTGGATGTAATTAAAAGAATGATGTAACTCTTTTCTTTCAAAATGGCATTACTTATGACACTACATACATCCTTTCCAATTATACTTAGCATGAAAAGTTTTAGATGTCAATGGAAATGTCAGGAAGATTACAGAGTTAAAAAATATATACATAAATGTGTGTATGTGCATATATTAGGGACATAAGGAAAAAACTACTTTAAGGTGATGGTTTTGTGGCCCACAGGACTCCATCACCCCGACCTCTATTCACCTTTCATCTGGTGACTTCTAGAGCCCTCCATTCAGATATCACTCTTAAGAAAATAAATATTTTCTTATTTTCTTAAAATAAAGAAAAAAATTCTTTAAATCGTTTTTTTTTTTTTTTCCTGAGTAGATGAGTGATTATTTTTCATTATAAAGGATAAATTATACAAGCCATTACTCACAAGGACAGCGCAGATTCGAGGGGTGGTAAGATAGACTCTTGATTGGAAAATTCACAGTTTCAAATTGCAGAGGATGTGGATACAGGGGAAAGAGAAAACTAGGGCTGTTTTTGTAGACTCTGTATTCCAGAGTTTTCAAGTGATCGTTAAAAATAATGTTTGATGGTAAAAATATAAAATGGGTATACAGCTCAGAAGGAATTTAAAGAACTGAGTGACCTTGCAGAACTAAGCTGCTTTTTTATTTGACTCTGTCATTGGAACTGTAGCACCTTTAGTCCTGAATGAGTATTCCACCAATGGGTGTTACCGAGATCTCTTGATTTCTTGAGGTCTGCTGCCCTGCTGTCCAGTAAAGTAGAGTAAGACATATGTGGCTGGCCCAGATTGAGATGTCAGTGTAAAATACATTGAATTTTGAAGACGTACCACAGAAAAAGAATGTACATGTAAAATAGCTCGTTTTTTGATATTTTGGATATATTGGGTTTAACAAAATAGTAAAATTAATTTCATCTGTTTTGTTTTACTTTTCTAGTGTGGCAACTGAAATGTCTAAAATTACATATGTGTGTTGCATTCTGATTTCTACTGGACAGTACAGACCTAGCCCAAAAATCAGAAGACCTAGAACAAACTGGGAGTCCTTTCTCCCATTTGCCCAAGGGTTATCTTTTCAGTTCCAATTTCCTCCTTAAACCATTCTCTGTTCCACAAAGTGAAAAAACACAGGATGTCTTTTTTAGGTGAAACCTTCTCGCGTACCTTGCAGGGCTTACCAGGGTCAAGCTATCAGATCAAATCATTATCCAAGAGATACTCAGAAAATAAAAAGCAATGGGGAACAGCAATTTCTTCACACCAAAGGTGCCTACTGTATGCAGTTATTAGAGGGAGGCTGGAAGATGACCAGAGAAAGAGGTTCTGGAAAAGACGGGGTGCCCTGCGGAGAAGGTGTGTTCTTTCGAGGCCTTTATTGTAAAATGACTCATCTGCCCTTTCTTTCTTTTTGATTATTCCAGAACGCTGCGATGACTGGGGACTAGATACCATGAGGCAAATCCAAGTGTTTGAAGATGAGCCAGCTCGCATCAAGTGTCCGCTCTTTGAACACTTCTTGAAATTTAACTACAGCACAGCCCATTCAGCTGGCCTTACTCTGATCTGGTATTGGACTAGGCAGGACCGGGACCTTGAGGAGCCGATTAACTTCCGCCTCCCTGAGAACCGCATTAGTAAGGAGAAAGATGTGCTGTGGTTCCGGCCCACTCTCCTCAATGACACTGGCAACTATACCTGCATGTTAAGGTAGCTTGATTCTTGGCAGTGACTTTCTCTTCTCCCTTTAGTTTCTGGGCTTTTGTCCAGATGATCCATGTGCTAGGAAGCTGGGGAGAAGTCGGAAGCATTTAGATAGAGTTTAGTGAGGTAATTCTCTGCAGCTTAGCTGAAGGGGGCTGAAGGAGGTATGCAGAGAAATTGGTTGTGGCCCTTAGAATGTTCTCCAGAGGTAGTTTCTTCCCAGACCCTGAGACATATCAAAGTTGTGTAAAAGTGGAGCCTTGTTATTAATCCCTTCTCATGACCTGCGTGCCTTTATGCCTCACCTGGAGACATCCATTTATCCAGACATTGAACAGGGAAGGGAATAGAGCCCATTTGTATCGGTTATTCTTGGCATCTTTCAAAGTACCCGGCACAGAAAAGAAACTCAGGGTGCATTGTGTGATGCACAATGCCTCCCAAATATGTGTGATGCGATGCCTCCCAAATATTATTTTACTTTTTTAGTGTGGCAATTGAAATGTCTACAATTACATATGTGGTTCACAGTATCATTTCTATTGGACACTGCAGATCTAACCCCCAAATCAGAAGACCTAGAGTGAACTGAGAGTCCTCTCTCCCATTTGCCCCAGGTTTGCCTTTTCAGTTACAATTGCCTCCTTAGAATTTTCTCTGTCATAATATTCTCCCAAATGTTCTTTTGGGAGCCATGACATGTATGTATGACAATGCTTTTTAAACTTCTCCCAAATTTCTCCTGAGAAGCAAGAGAATACCATTATCTCTGGCAATCTAAGGATTTAATCCAAACAATTTATCATTACAGTAAAATTTCTTTCCAATCCACTTTTTTTCCTTTGAAAGTTTTGTAAATTTTATATTTTACTCTACAGTATTCCTTTTTTTTTTTTTTTTTCCGCATTAATGTTTTTTGGGGGGAAAAAAAAACTGAGGCTTCTCGACAGAATAGAATAGCCCTTTTCAGGGTTATTCTCCACAGAATAGCCCTTTTCAGGGTTAATTATTTGGTTACTTTTTACCAGCGGTCACTTTTTAGGTGCCAGGCATGGCCTTGTTTTCTAAACTCCCATCTAGGTTAATTTTTTTTTTTCCTTTGAACGACTTCCTACTATTTAACAGATGTGTTGCTTTGCTAGGACTGCAATGACAAAATACCTCAGACTGGGTGACTTTAACAAACAAAATTACCTTCTCACAGTTCTGGAGGCTAGAAATCCAAGATCAAGGTGTCGGCAGGGTTGATTTCATTCTTGGTGCCTCTATCCTTGTCTTGTAAATGGCCATCTTCTCTCCTTGTCTTTGCATGCTCTTTCCTCTGTGTGTTTGTGTCTTAATCTCTTCTTCTGATAAGGATGCTAATAGTATGGGATTAGAGACCATCCTTGTGACTTCATTTTAGCTCAATTATGTCTTCAAATTTTCTGTTTTCAAATACAGTCACATTCTAATGTACTGTGAGGTAGGACTTTAGCATGTAAATTGGGGTGGGGTGACACAGTTCAGTCCATAACAATAAATAATCACAAATGTTTTTTCTCTCATAGAGAGTCTCTACTCCCTGATGGAAAACTAGGACTATACTTTGGTAAATGTAAGCTATGTTATGATTATGTGAAAAAATACCTCTTTTCTATCATAGAAAAGCCTTTAGATCACTGTGTTCTTGGGAGTTGGAGGTAAGGGAGAATCCCTGTAACCTCTGAAGGCCCTTCTGAGGTTTTCACTGGAAACTTGAATCTTATTGGAGTGGGCTTTAGACTGGTATATGGGTTTCCAAGGATCCTGAAGTACTCATGTTCTCATTATTTATGTTCTAATACAATGTAGTAGAAGTTAAAGCAGATTATAGTGGAAAGAGCATTAGGAGAAGACAGAGAAACTAGGCCATCACTTCCACTCTGCCACTACTTAGCTGGTGACCTTAGGCAAGTCCTGTCCATGTCTGAGAGCTGTGGTATCTACATCTACATAGGAAGAGAGTTGGCATACATGCTTGTTGAGCTCCTTTTTATCTTTGATAACTGTTCATCTGTTAACATTTTCCAGTGGGAGGAAGTCTTCGGGAGCTTTCTATTTAACTATGGTCTCCACTGTGTATCTTAGTGTTTCAGAATCAGTTTTACTTTTTCCTTAATTACTTACTACTTGCCTGTAGCTCTTCCACAAACTTGTCTAATCTTCTTTTACATTGTAGGAGTAGGGCTGCATGACGGTTAAGACCTGCATATACCTTTAGTGTTATTTATCAACTTCCAGATTGTCACCTCTTCAGTTTACTTCTCTATCTTCCATGTTCTTAAAGCAAATCTAGAATTGAAGTTGTCTGGTGGGAGCACTACCATGTTTCCTATGTTACTGAGGAAATGTATAAGCTGAGAATGACCTTAAACTGAAGCATGTAGAACCATAGGGCAATAAAATTAGTTTCATCTTTGAGTATTTTCTTTATATTCTTGCCCCAATACTGTTCAACTTTGGAAGCTAAAATGTCAGTCCAATCACTGTTCTTCATATTTTTTAAAATCAGAAAATAGATCCTTAAACTTAAATTTCCCTTCTATAACTTCTACCTATAGAGTCTGTCTTCCAAGGGGCAGATGTTTTGTTATTTGTAGGTATGGATCATGCCTACCACTCCCTCTTACCCCCTTCTGAGTATTGTCACAAGTCATCTTTAACACCCCTCCCTCCATCTTTGAGAATGCATACCCCACCCTTTCCACTAAATTTAGTCTTTATTCATAAGTCATTTTGGTACCCAATAAGCCAAATATGTGTGATGTGATGCCTCACAAATATTATTTATACAAAAATCACAAAAATGGCTAGACATAGACTCCTTATCCCATCACCCTAAAAAATTAGTTGATTTATTATTCTATGTTATTTTTCATGTTTACCTATATTTAGACACAAGTTTTACATCCATTCCATTTACTTAATAACAAATATTTGTTCAGCAGTTACTGAAAGTTAAGACACTGTACTAGATGCAATTAATGTAATAAAAAACATAAATAGTGTTGTGGGACTTATATTTTACAGAGGATATTGACACATATCTATAACATAACCATCTAATTTTGAATTATAACAAATTTAACCAAGGAAATGTCCAAGGTGCTCAATAAACGACAGACCAAATTTAGATATGAGGTGGGAGAAGATAACAGAGAAGGCCTGTATGTGAAATGAAGGGGGTGGGAGAAGTAAGCCCTCCAAGCAGACAAAACAATGTACATGAACATTATAGCACAAATGCAATTCCCCAGTCGTCCTAAGGAATTGTTATGTGTTTGTTTTTTTTCCTTCATGCCTGATTCTTTGTATACGTTCTCACAACAACTTTGAAGGGTTGTACCACAGTTTTCTTTATAATATTCCATTTGTCACATTTTTTTCTATTGATTTTAATGTTTTTCTTGCTAATATGGCTCTGGATGGGCATTTTTAACTACGTGCTGTCTCTATTCCCCCTTTTCTATCATTCTATCATGTGACAAAATATCCAGACATAGGATTACTAGGGCAAAAACAAAGGCTTTTTTATGATCCTGGAAGCATAGTTTTTCCCAAAGTTGCTTATACCATTATTGACTCTGCATAAATACGCCATTCATGCCTCTGCCTTACCAGCACTGAGTATTATTGAGAATGTTTTTAGTGTTACATATATGCACAGTTATATTTTGCTATGTCAAACAGCAGAACAGGGGATATGTTCTGAGAAATGTTTTGTTAGGTAACTTTAGTCATTGTGTGACCATCATAGAGTGTAGTTACATGAACCTGGTTGGGAGAGCCTACTACACACCTAGGCTATATGGTATAGTCTGTTACTCCTAGGTTACCAACCTGTATAGCAGGTTGTGGTACTGAATACTATAGGCAATTATAACACACTGATAAGGATTTGTGTACTTAAGCTATCTAAATATAGAAAAGACACAGTTAAAATATAATATAAAAGATGAAAGAAATAGTACACCTGTGTAGGGCACTTATCGTGAATACAGCTTGTAGGACTGGAAGTTGCTCTGGGAGAGTGAGTGAGTAGTGAGTGAGTGTGAAAGCCTAGGACATTACTATACACTTTTATTTGTCTGACAGTGCATAGGTTTGTTTATACCAGCATCACCCAAAACATGAATAATATGTTGCCCTATGACATTACAATGACAATGACATCAATAAATAATAGAAATTCTTGAGCTCCATTATAATTTTATGAAACCACCATCACATGTGTGATCCATCGTTAACTGAAATGTCATCATGTGACACGTGACTATTTATATACACTGACAAACACATTTAGGACCACATCTGAAAGTATAAATACTTTGGTACATTAATAGTAATTAATTAATTGTGCTTTTTTAAAATTCTGTGATGCCAATTGGTATAGGAAATGCCTCCACTATGATTTTATCTCTTACGTGAACTTACATATATAAATGATGTCTCAGTATGTAGCATGGCTTCACTTAGTTCATTTGAATGCTCTATGAAATCGAATGCAAATACTACCCATTCATTGTATGTTTCTTTTTTCAGGAACACCACATATTGCAGCAAAGTTGCATTTCCCTTGGAAGTTGTTCAAAAAGACAGCTGTTTCAATTCCCCCATGAAACTCCCAGTGCATAAATTGTATATAGAATATGGCATTCAGAGGATCACTTGTCCAAATGTAGATGGATATTTTCCTTCCAGTGTCAAACCGACCATCACTTGGTATATGGTAAGGAAAATTAGACTACACTTTATTCTCTCTAATAACTTATAAAATGATAATACTTATTTACTGAGTTACATGTATAAGCAAAGGTATTTCTCTTCAGATTATCTGATTTATTCCATAATAACTTTATGGAAATATTTCACCACGTCCTCATTTTGTACCATTTTAAAGGAAGTGGTGCACAGTACTTTGTCTCAGCTCACTATTTCTGAAATAACTCTAACTAGAATACCAAAACTACCTTATTTCTGTTAACTTCATGTGAAATGCATTTTAAGAAATGCCGCCCACTTCTAGTTCCTGCTTAGTGAAGTCATAAGCTGTTAATTCATGTGGTGAAATTCAATTCCTTGATTAATCAGTACTGCATTTTATTATTTCTGTGTGTTTTTTTCTTTGCCCTCATTTGTGAGCACTGTCCATCTATGGTCTCTTCCACATCTGAGGGATTTGGAAAATGTTTTGTCAAAATATGAAAGTGTTGGAAGGTAGCGCTTGTAGCAGCAACATAGCCTTCGTATTGCTTCAAGTCTCCACATACACTAAAGCCAAAACCCCATGGACAGAATTTACAGCATAACTCAGTGACAGATTATCCACAGGAACCACTTTTGATAAAGCCACCAACAGCCTAAGCCCATATGGGATCAGTGTTTGTGCGGAAGGAAGCAGATGGAAGTAATGTGGTGTCTGTCAGACTTGACAACAGGAGAACACCAAAAGAGCCAACAGGTGCTCACTGGAAAGTGTGATGAACCAACTTGAGAACAGGAGCTAAAATTGGGAGAGGTTTTGCTCTCTAATAGAGGACCGTGCAAGAGACCTATAACAAGAAGCTCTGAAGGGGTGGAAGAAGTTGTAGTTCCTCACAACTCTGAAATATGACCCGCCACGTTGAGGAGAAGCTACTGAGAGTAGAATCAAAAGTAAACCGGATGAGGACAATATATAGGAAGGAAAAAGAAGGACTGGCTAAAAATGGAGCAGGAGAACGAAGCCAGGACATCTTAAGACCGAGACACCATCGTTTTGAAAAGATAGCTTGCTGAAGTTAGAAAATCCTTTTATATTTTAAAATTTAGAAAAAAACTACTATTTCCTAAGTGAGCTAAATGACATTTTAAAATGATACAAGATGTGAACGAATAATAAGAATTAGAAACATCTAAAAATTATATATATTATGTAACTCCATACAAACTTAGAAAATAAATCATTTTAGAAATGAAGCTAATCTAAGAGAAAGATCACAGAAAAAAAAAAAAAAGACAATAGATAATGCCTTAAGATCAATAGAAGGTGAAAGGGAGAAAAAATTAAAATAAAAAAATGACAAATACAGTAAGTAAATTAGAATGGCCGTAAGAATATCAGATAAAGTAGACAGGATTACCAGAGATAAAGATGACATTTCATAATAATAAAAGGATCACTTTATCAGGGAAACATAAAAATAACAAAAACTCATGTGCTTAATAACAATGCTTCAAAAATACGCAGCAAAAGTTGGCAGAACTCCGGAGAGAAATAAAAAATCCTACAAACACAGTTTGTTATAAATTTCAAAAGCTGAAAATTTTAAATTCTGTCTCTGCTTAAGTTGCTAATGATACAATTTGGGAGTCAACTTGAAGAGTCTTCTGTTGGCCAAAGATGAACAATTTTAACCAAAATAATTTGAACCTAATTTTAATGGTTTAAATCCTATGAAGTCAGTTTAAATTTATAAGTTTATAATGACATTTCACAAAATTTAATGAGTTACATTTGGATGATGAAAGGAAATCAGTTTATTATCTTAAAAACTGGTAAAGGCAAATAATCAAGTATTCATTCTGGTTTTCCTAGAGGACATGTAACATTGGGTAATGAAGTATTGTAGAGAGGTGCGTTTTGTAAAGTGTTTCTAATAATAAATGAAATTTTAATGATACAATTAGAATTATCATCACCTTGCAACTCTCAATAGATTAATAAATGTAGGCATCTAAGCATCAATGACTGCTAACATCACAAGACGAAAAACCATCAGACATGTTTCTTCTGATAAAAGAAGAAAATATTACGTATTGATTCATATTACCAACTAATTAAACCTGAGTCCAGTTAAGCCTTTGGATCCCACTCTCATTTTGCAGGAGATATATAAATAACATAGAAATACATTGACCTGCAGCATGAATATATCATCAATAAAATCCAGACTATGTGAAACTCTATGGGCCAGATGTGCTGGGTTTTTCAAAAGATAAATTGTAAGAAAAGAAATGTCATGAAGAGGGACTGTATAGATTAAAAGAAACATATAAGGCATTTAAAAAGTAGATAGCACTGTAGCATCTAACCATGCACATATAGGTGAAAAGTATATAAATAAAAACAAGAAGTGATTTAACTATAAAAGTATAGATAGTGACTACTTTGGAGGGTAGTAAAGGAGGTGTGATTGACGTGGGCCATGAAGAAGGCCTTCAAGAGGGACTGGCAAAGTTCCTGGACCTGAGTGAAGCAAAGGCCTTTGCTTTATAACAACTCATTAACTCTTAGATGTGTTTTGCATTTTTTTTGGTATATGCTTTATTTTACAATAAAATGACTAAGAGGGATGGAGGGAGGCAGGGAAGGAAGGTAGAAAAGGAGTGAGGAAGAGAAAGAGATACAGAGACTGATTTAAGAGATTTAACAACCAACTGCAATGAATCAATTTTAGTTGGATCTTTTTCATTTGAAAAAAACTAAAGCAAATTATGAAAAGATCAGGGAATTTTGAACATGCAATACTAACATTACTAATAAATTATTACTTTTTAAACATGATAATGGTACTGTAGTTATGCTTGCAGAAAGAGTCTTATTTTTTGGAGATACTCAAATTACTCAAATATTGTTTAGAAATAAAATTATATGATGTCTGTGATTTGCTTCAAAATAATCTTGGGTTGCAGTGAATAGCTGTACATGAAATAAGACATAGTCTCAATTAATACTTGTTGAGGCTAGTAAAGATACAGGAACTCATTGTTCTCTCTCTGATTGTAATTTTTCATAGTAAAAAAACCTAAAAGATGGTTTAAAAATAATATTAACAGTTTTACATCAATAAGTGTAATATACCTTCCAGTTAAAAAACATATGTTTATTTACCCTGCAGTCAAGGTTTTAATCTCGAACCTTATTTATTAGTTTGATTCCCATACACATCCTGCCATTTTCTCCTCTCCTTTTTCCTCATGCATTTCCTCTGCCCGGAACATCCTTCTCCCTTTAGAACAGACTAAATTGTACCATCTTTATTAATTGTTCCTTATTCCCTCCAGCTGGAAATTACAGCTGTCTCATGTATTCCTGTTTATTTATACCTGTTTCAATATTATTTTTCACTTCTTTACTTTTTTTAGTCATTCATTCATGACTACAGATAGTCCTCAATTTACGATGGTTTGACTTAAGATTTTTCCACTTGATCATGGGTTTATTGGGATAAAACCTCGTGGTATGTCAAGTAGCTTCTTATGATTTGTGATGGGGCTACAGTTTTACTGAATTTTTATCACTTTCACATTATCATAAAGTCAAAAAATCATAAATAAAACCATCATAAGTTGGAGACCGTCTGCTGTGTTGCTAGCATTAAATGTATTTTTGACTTAACCACATTTTTGACTTATGATAGGTTTACTGGTATGTAACTTTCATCATAAGTTGAGGAACACCTGTATACTAGCTGAAGATTAGCTGTGATCAATGCAACGTGCCGGGGCGGGGGAGGAGGGAACACCATAATGAATAAAATATATGCCCAGAGCTGTGTAGTCCCAAATAACCTCATAATTTAATAAAAATAAGTTTGTAAATACGAAGAATTTCTATTCTTATCAAAATGTAAACTTCTAAGTTTCATAAGAGTGACAAGGAGAAATTACTGTTGGTTTTAAGGAGAGAGAGATATGTATCCTAGAAGACAGCCTATTTCTTGAGGGCAAAGCTATGTAATGTCTTACTCTGAGTCTCTAGTGATTTCCAGATTTCTGGTTTTCATGAAAGGATGGCATGGTGCTATTAACCAAGGTATGAAGTAACAGAGGAGAAGCAGGTTTCGGGAGTAAGTAATGGGTTAGGTAATGCCGTGTTAAGTTAGTTGCTGATGTCTCTGAGACATCTAGCTGGCGGGTGGCAGTGACTAGCAGGTAGTGGTTACATGATTATGAGTCTGGAGCTTAGCAGAAAAATCAGAGCTAAAGACAGAATTGGGTGCATTCATGTGATAGTTGAAGCACTTGAGAAGACTAAATAAAGTGAGAAGAGAACTGAGCTAATGCCATACTCTGGAGATACTATTCATGGGTAAATGGAGACATGAATTCTGAGAAGGAGACAGAAAAAGTCACAGCTGTAAAACAATTACCATGGCCAATATCCAACCATGTGCAGGTGACTAAAATAGACAAACAACATGGCCAATATGGTGAAACCCCATCGCTACTAAAAATACAGAAACTAGCCGGGCGTGGTGGCGCACACCTGTAGTCCCAGCTGCTTGGGAGTCTGAGGCAGGAGAATAGCTTGAACCCAGGAGGCGGAGGTTGCAGTGAGCTGAGATCATGCCACCGCACTCCAGCCTGTGCAATGGAGGAAGACTCCATTTCAAAAAAAAAAAAAAGACAACCACTGATCATGTTTTCTCTTATTTGATTAAGAAAAGATTACTAATAATTTCTAATATATTGCTTCCTGTTTCTCTACCTTTGGGTAATCACCTGACACCTTTCATCCTAACACTTCTGCCATCTTGGAAACAAAACAAAGGTTCTTGGTCACTGCATCCTCCTGTCTCTGTACAGCAGTGCTAACTTTGCCTTCTATTTTGTACCTTTTACAGTCATCCCCAAGCATCTACCCAGATGTCTTGGCCCTTCTTCAGCAATTCTTTTTTAGCTGTTATCAACAGAGGTTCCTACATCTGTTGATTCCTACTTCTATGGATCTGTCTATTAATCCTC